AAATAAGGAGACACATTGCACTAGGAAAATCTGCAGTTGGGGACCTCTCCATCTTACTGACTACTAATGATGTTTGAGCACTAAAGTGCTTCTGATTTAGGCCATGATCTTCCCAGTCACTTACTATGAATCTGAGAGCTAGATAGTTTAATAAGGATAACACAAGAACTGATGCCTTTGAGACGTGGTGTTAGGGAAGAGCACTGAACATGCATGGCCAAAACAACAAACAAGTATGTCTTGGAGAGGGTGCAGCTGGTGTGTGTGCTCTTTATAGGTCAGAATGATGAGGCTTAGCATGTTGCTAGGAGGGGTTATTCCTTGGAAAAGGACATGATGGTAGTAAGTGTGGAGGTTCAGCAAAGGAGAAGACCCTCAGCCAGGTGGATTGACACTGTGACTGCTGCAGTAGGTTCTTGTGTGTCAGGAAGTGTGAGGATGGCATGGGGTAGAACAGTGTTTGGTTCTTTTTGTTTATAGGGTTGCTATGAGTCATGCTTAACGGCACTTACAACAACAAAGCTTCCAAAAAGATAATGGCCTGGCTGTCAAGTCATTTAACTCTTGGTGTGTGTCAAAAGTACAACTATAAAGTTTTCACTGATTTTTCTATAATAGATTATCAGGCCCTTCTTCTCAGGAACTTCTGCTGGACTTAAACTTCCAATCTTCCAGCAGCCAAGAGTGTTAACTACACTAGTAAGGCACCCTGCATGAAAAATAGAATTGGCAGTATTGACTTCCTCTAACCAGCTACATTCTTCTTTATTTTATGTCTCTGATTGTGATTTTGGTGAAAGTTCAGCAAATTAGGATCCCTTTTAACAATTTCTATTAAGTAGCCAAAAAAAGAAAAAGGAAAAAAAAAAGATTCCAGGAATTGATAGGATACCAAATGACATACTTCAAAAAATAGATGCAGCCCTGGATGTGCTCACCAGGTTGTACCAAGAACTCTGGAGAACAGTTTATCTGGCCTACTAACTGGAAGAGATCCATATTTATTCACATTTCCCCCAAAAAAGTGATCTAATAGAACATGGACCTTGTCAAACAGTATCACTAATACCACCTGCAAGCAGAATCCTACTGAAGATGAAGTACCGCAAATACAAACTGGATTTAGAAGAGGCCATGGTAGTAGGGATATCATTACTAATGTCAGATGTATCTTTACTGAAAACAGAGTACCAGAAAGCTTTCTGTCTGTATTTTATCAACTTTAAAAAGCATTTGGCTGTGTGGATCAAAGCAGAATGTGACTAATATTGAGAAGCATGTGATTCTTTTAACACTTGTTTGTGCTCATGCAAAACCTCTACCTAGTCCGAAAAGCTGTTGTCCAACCAGAGCAAGGGAACACTGCATACTTCAGAATCAAGGAAATAGTATATCAGGGATGTATCCTTTCTCCATACCTTTTCAGTGTATATACTGGACATATTCAGGAGACTGCACTTTATGAAGAAGAATGTGGCATTGGAGAAGACTCATAAAGAGTCTGCATTAGGCAGATTATATAACCATGCTTGTCTATACTTTGGGGACTTGAAGTATTTGCAACAGGTAGTCAAAGACTGCAGTTTTCAATCTAGATTGCATCCCAACATCAAGAAAACAAAGGTCCTCACTAATGGGTCAGTAGGTAACATCATGATAGGTGGTGAAAAGATTGAAATTATCAATAATTCATCTTACTTGAATCTACAGTCAACATCCTTGGTACCAAAAGTCAAAAGAGAGGAGACATACTGCATTGGGTAAATCTGCTGTCAAGGACCTCTGCAAAGTACTGAGGAGCAGTGATGTTAGTTTGAAGACTAAGATGCACCTGATTCAGGCTGTAGTCTTTTCAGTCACTTGCTATGTGTCTGAGAACTAAAGAATGAATGAGAATCACAAAGAACTGATACCATTTAGTTGTGATGTTGGCAAACACTGCATATCATGTGGACTGCCAAAAGATCAAACCACAAACGTCTTGGAAAAAGTGCAGCCAGAGTCCTCACTGGAGTCAAGACAAAGCTTTGTCTTACATACTTTGGGCATGTTGCTATGAGAGGCTGTTCATTGGAAAAGGACATGCTAGGTAGGGTAGAGAGTTAGCAAAGGAGGAAGAACCTCAACAAAATGGATTGACACAGTAACTGCAGAACTGTGTCAGAACTGATGAGAATGGCACAGGACTCAAGTCTGTTGTTAATAGGGTTGTTTTGAGTTGTACTTGACTCAAGGGTACCTGACAACAACAGGATTGCTGTACAATAAGGTAGTTCTGTTTCTGTTTGTTTAAGGGACCATCTGTTTGTACCATTTTACATTTCTACCAGCATTATGTAAAGATTTCAGCCTCTGTGTATACATACCAGCATTTCTTTTGCAGGGGTGTGTGTGTGTGTGTGTGTGTGTGTGTGTGTGTGTAAGTGTAATCAGTGCTATTTTAGCAAGGCATTGTAGTTTTTATTTGTAAGTGTGGCATCCACTTCCTAAAGCACATGACTCCGGAAACTCTGTGAACTTTGATAAATGTTGGTGGTTGTAGAGGGGCTTCAGGCCTTTTGTTCATAGGTTCACTTGAGTTGTCCTTGACTTGAAGGTAATCACCACCACCAGCCACCTTAGTTTATAAGCAACAACTAAAGGTTTGCACATTTAGCTTCTCTAATTCTGTCTTAATCCTGTATTCTCTCATTTATTTTTTACTTAACTCTGTGGTATCTGACATGGATTCTGATGATCAGATTTAGAACGGCCTCAGTACTTTTGCTGTTTTGCTCCTTTCTTTCCCTTTAGACCTGAAGCTTTGTCTTGGATGACTTTCTCATTTTTCTGCTCTGTCTTTCCTAGCCTAAACTTGCTTCTTAGGGACTTTGTGGGGATAGATGGCACTGGCCAGATTTAAAGCACAGCTGGACTGCAACAGGTCCTAAAGCCCCAGAGTGGAAGGAGCAGGCAGACATTTATGTTCATAAAACTAACTTTTTCTGTTATTTACCAGCCCCAAGTTGTTTTGGTTTCACTGCACCCTTTATGTTCAGGTTGTTGATTTTACCTTTGTCTAGTCTGTCAGCATATTATATTTATGGATTTGAGACTACATAAAAAGTTTTTCTAGTTCTTTCAAAGTAGATGTTTTAGAAACCATTTTCAAGTTGTCATCACAAATGTCATGTCTCTAGTCTCAGCTGTTATGCTTGAATTATGTGCCCTTGAGTTGCCTGTGACCCAGTGACCCTATTCACAATGGCTCGGAACCCCATATTAGCCTGAGCCAGTCTCATGGTCCTTGACACACCTACACCCATTGGTCCAGTTACTGTGTCACTCAATCTGATTTGGCGTCTTCCTCACCTGAGCTGTCCCTCCAGCCTTTCAAGAATGATGTCCTTTTCCAAGGACTTCTCCCCCCGGCAGCATGAACAGAGTACGTGAGACAGAGCTTAAAAATCCTTTACCATATGTGGAATCCTAATTGAGAACTAGAAGTAATATGACTAGCATCATTTTGTGTGGAAAAATGTTTTTAATTTTTTTTAATGCTTCAGTTAACAAAGATTTTAACAGAGTTTCTGAATTTTTAATTAGATTTTTGCTTGAATGACGATTAGAGATATTGTAGCTGATGTTAGATGAATCTTGGCCGAAAGCAGGGAATACCAGAGGAATGTCTATCTGTGTTTCATTG